TCCAGCCGAGGGCTTTCTTGGGAAGACGGGCGGTTTTAAGGTCCTCTTCAAACTTTCCCTTCCCGCTGGAGCCGCGGGGTCCGCCTCGGCCCTGCCCCGGGTGCGCAGTCCTGGATGCTCCGCTTATCCTGCGGTCCTCAGACTACGGGAAACCTGTGTCTGGGGTCAGCGCTTAGCCCTTGCACTGAAGCCGCTCATGTTGTGCTGAAAAGGAGGGATACTGTCTTCTAATCTCTCCCGTTAACCAGCCCTTGTAACTCTATCTTCCCCTCCCAGCTACCTTTACTGAAGTTCCCAAAGATGTGACTGTTAGGGAGGGAGATGATATTGAGATGCCTTGTGCTTTCCGAGCCAGCGGATCCACCTCTTACTCCTTGGAAATCCAGTGGTGGTACCTTAAAGAACCAGCCAGAGAACTTGCACACGAATTAGCCATCAGTGTTCCCGGCAGCAGGAGCAAGGTAATACAGTGCTATGGAGAGATATCTGTTCATCGAGTGCAGCATGCTCAGAGGGTGATCAAAATAAACTCAGCAGTCTCAGCAGGGAGAGCGCTGCTTCTGCCCAGTGCCAGCGAGTGGTTGGAAGCATCGGCATCCCCGGGCCCTCCCTGGGACAGTGGAGGACAGGGCATGCACCATGGGGGAGCTTCACCTCAGGAAAAAACATCAGTTTTGTAAATAGAAAATGATAAATGTCCTGCTGCAAAATCAGCAGTGAGGACCCAGGAGAGGCAGTCAAAAATAGCTGTAGTATGCAGTGGGGACAAGCAAATACCAATGCTTCTGTGAGCTGATCTGGGAATTGTAAAGGTGGAAGAGCCTCTGTTTGCTCACTGCTAGGGCAGAGAAAGGCATGAAGGATACATCTCTCTCTGTCAATATGTTAAGTACATATCAATCTGCATATAAAAATGCACACAGTTTCTTGGGGTGCACATACACACCTGTCCCTGTATCTGGAGCTCAGCAAGACGTTTCCACAGTCGGATATAGTAATTAAAATGCATGAAGCAGAGTTAAATCTTGCGTGTCTTTTCCCCTCCCCCTAGCAAGCTGCCTGGCGTGAGAGTAGGCTCTAGCCTAAATTTTTCAGCTGCATTTCCCCAACATAAGTCAGTTCATTCTGCAGCCTCCCCCCAGTGCAAGACACCTTGCTGGTGCCAGATGGGGCTGCACAAAGAGTGGGGTAAAACAGGATTTCCAGGCCGTGTTGCCCGACTGCGTGTGGCACACCATCCTCTCCAGCCCCTCGGCCCCTGCGCCAGCAGGGTGCCCCGCGGCAACCTCTGTGCCTGTGCCAGCTCCCCTCTCTGTGGCACGCTTGTTTTCCTGCAGAGCTCAAATAGAGATGCAAAGCGTATAGACGCTGAGCTAATGCGATGCCGCCTAGCTGGGGAAAGTGTAAGTCAGTTGTCAGACAGGGAAATAAATCGCTTGGATTTAAATGTCTTCTTTAACCTTATATAAAAACCGTGAGTTGCTTTTACAATAAATGATGACAGGGCACGCCTGGAGAATGATGACCGCCTCCCTGGGAGGCGCATCAGTGAGATCTGAGGCATCGCTGAGGTTTACAGTAGTTGGCTGGAGACAAATAACCAAATACAAAACTGGCTGAGCGATACCTGCTCCCAGGATGTTTCAGGACCAAAGCTCTGCCTCGAGCAGTGTGGGATCCAGCCTGCCCAAGCACTTCCCAGCTGTGCTAATGCTGCTGGTAAAGCGGCTTTCCCAGCGTGTGTCAGTGGCTGTGAGCAGCACAGCATGCAACAAGCATTTCTTTGGCTGCTCTTCTCACCCTTGGTGAAGGCGGCGCTTCTGTGGGTGCCACAGGAGCTTTACCAAAACAGCCCCCCCAGCTGAGCACTGGTTTGCAGCCTTCCCCATCGCCTGGGCAACTCCCCCCCAGTCACACACGGGCTGTGTGAGTGGCAAGTGGAGAAAGTTACGTCTGCCTGTGTCCTGCCCTTGCACTGGGGTGGGAATATGAGCATCTTGTTGATGTGCTGGCAGAGCTGAGTCTCATCTCTTTTTTCTGTTCTTTTAGGTAACAAATAAGGATGCAACCAAAATCAGCGTAAGTGCAGCTCGAGCTGGGTGGTGCACACCCCTCCTCCCACACACGCAGGATTTACTGCATGCCCCCCTCCTTTCCTAACACATGAATGCAGCTGGTCTCCCTGGCAGCCCTGCTCCTGCAGCACGGCGGGAATGCGGCACGTTTCCCCTCCTCGGTGTGCCGTGGATCGCTCGAAACGTTGCCATCTGTTGCTGGTTTAGCAGTCGTTTCCCATTCCCCACGAATTGAGAGGAGGCGATGTTTGCCTTACGGCCCTTCCTTAGCCACGTTTGAAAAGGACTTGTGGGCCAGATCAGGAGAGAAGTTTGCTTTTTCCTGCTTGTGGCGAGCCGCTTCTCTCCTTGCCGGGCAGTAAACGAGCCTTCCCCTTGGTGCGGGCCGGGATTGCCTCCGGCGCACACGCCGGCCCCTCTCCGCGGTGCTGAGGCGCGGCTGGAGCTGTTCCCTGCGCCGCGGCGTGGGAGCGCGGTCTGCGCCGGGACTGCTGGGCACGGCCTCGGCCTCGGCCGGG